CAGATTGATCTGCTATTTGGTATACACATTCAGTATTGCTGACAATATAATTTAATAAATTCTGCATCATCGTGAATCCAAAATGGCGTATTACATATTATTTCACAACTACCTCAATATGGGTATCAAATGACAGGGCTTGACTAGTACTATAGTAGAAAAACTATGAAAAATATTCAAATCCAATATAATCTATACAAAGAACTTTGTCAACTCAGAATTGGGATACAAACCTAGATCTCCCATAAAAGTCAAGATTTTTTATCGTGTCGAGGACTGTGTTGCGTTATTGTGGCTGAAAATGATACGTCGTTAGCGGTACACCAACCAAGTTAAGGTAAAATATTAAAACGTGCCAAGAACTGTGGCATTAGGATGGATGAAAAGTAGAAACTAAAAACTAAGAATGAAATAAGTAAAAAAAAATATCGAAAAAAATAAGAATGATGTAGATAACGTACTAAAAAAATAATTCGGAAGATCCTAGGTAGCAGTCACCACACCACTCTTCTCAGCAATATACGGTATTGATCAGATAAAAAAATAATAAAATCGTTGAGCGTAGTATATACATATTTACACAAATTACGCTATGCCCAACGATTTTATTATTTTTTATCTGTTCAATACCGTAGATTGCTGAGATGAGTAGTGTGACGACTGCTACCTAGGACCTTCCGAATTATTTTTAAGTAGTATTTAGTACATTATCTACATCATTACCTTTTTTAATGAAAGCGTTTAATATAAATTTTACTTTTGTATAATTTCAAGAAAGATATTGCAAATGGATTCTAAGTTCAGATTGAGATTTCTTTCGTGATATAAATGATCTCTGATAAAATATAAAAGGAACAGAAAAATTAAGGTAAAAATGCTATTATTACCGAGTATTTGTGAAATAAATATTAAAAATAATGGTATATAGAAATGTATAAAAGTAAATGCTAAAACAAAGTATATATAAAATATTCGTATACGTAGAATTGCAAAAGAGGAATGAAAAATTGAATACATCATAACATTTGTGCGTGATATGCTTGGCAATAGAATTTCAGATTGTGTCGACCTTCACTTCTTGGTTCTAAGAAATTGAAGTGGACTAGAGAGAAGCTGTATCAACTCGATTTGAGAACCCTTATGGCATTACGAATTTTTATATAATTCAATGTTCTTATTCGGAAGTGAATATTTCGGGAATACTATTGTATTTTTTTCTTCCGTTCATTAGAATTTTCCCATTAATACATATCCAATGTTTGTGGTTAGCCTACTTAAGTTAATCTATGTATTTATGACAATTTTGTATTGAAATAATAATACCTATGATCTCTTTCTTATCCTATTAAACGCTTTCCCCGCCACTGTTACACAAAGAACAGCGATTCAGTGTGTGACGCTACTCGACTTTACAAGTATTTTCGGTCCTTCTTTCTCTAATACCTTTGCTGCTCGGCAGGACCACAAGTGGGTTCTAAATAGAACAGAAAAGGCCCCCAGCAAAGGGTCTAAGCACCGCTCCACCCCATTGTATTTCGAACCAATGAATCTGGGAGTGACTTTTTAATTTATTTTTTATGTGGTAGGTGAGGGTCTCGTCGTTTTATGTTTAGATCGAGTGAGTATCTCCCACCTAGAAAAGCGGTTTTTATTTTCGTATAAGATATTTATGAAAACGTTATGCAGTACTACTGAAAAAAGACTTAAGAATGATATTTAATTATGGATGTGAAATTGTACAAATTTAACTTTTGTAATAATCTACTTCAATCGAATAATGTCAATGAAAGTTCATAACTTTGCGTTTATATTCGAACACTGTATTTTTGAGGTGCTTAATCTGAATCATCAAAATTCCTTTTGAGATATTGAAAGGTTAAATTGGAACCTCTAACTTAGAATAAATCCAAAACAATTACTTTTCCTAATCACCAGAAATGCAATACCTTTCTCGACGCTGGTTCCACCTAATAAGTTGGCATCTGTAGATATTGCGAAAAACAGCAAAATTTTGGTATCACTTTCGCTTTCAATACTTCGACCTCGATCAGTTGTGAATTCCTTATCGCTCCCTGTCTAATTCAAATGTGATCTGTGATCATTTTCTAAGAGATTGGAAATTGATATAGTAGTAGCAGTCTGGTTTGTTATTGTTACTTTGACGAATAAACAGTTTGCCGATGTTATTGATTATGGAAAAAAAGATAAAATTGTCCATAGCGGATTATCGAAAGTCACGCGAAAAGAAGAAGTTAAAATATGCTGCTACATCACATTCTCAAACAAAATAAATTTTTGTAAAACATTCAATTCGTAAGTTTTTAATTTTCAGTTGAAGATCCGAAATCGTATTCATTATGGAAATGTATACATTTACAGAGAAACAAAGGAAGATTAATTCAAACTCAAAATTGTGTAGAGTAATTGGTGCCAAATAAACCTGACATTACGGAGAGTACGGAGTCAACATTTCTTGATGTTCCATCTACATCAACCGATATAGTAAGAACCAAATCCGATTTTTCATTAGGTTCTGCTGATTTAGCATTTACGGAGGTAGATTATAATTCGGAGTAGGATAATGATAGTACTTAAGAACAAACCGATTCTGATAAGATGTCTGCTGAGAATGAAGGTGGAAAAAATATTTTGTTTTTACCTGGATCATTTTATAATTGATATTTCAATTTTGTAGGTATTCACCTTTCTGTCGATGAAAATGCTCATCCCGTCGACACATTTTTATTCAAAAATACTATTTTGATCCCTGAAATAGAGTGTCCAAAAATATATTACATGTGTTTCAATAAGCAGAAAAAGAAATGATAGCAATAATAACATCCGAAACGAATACTATAATTGTAATGAAAATTGAATGAAGTAATTCATATAAACAAAAAAATTATTGGAACAATAAATAATTGGAGTCCTTTCATTTCGAGACATTTTTGAGCTCGGTTTTTCATATTATTTATTGTCCTCGTTATACTTATTTGTTGCGAAATCGTTCAAAATCCTCAATTCTGAGTCTTCNATCATTCAAAATCCTCAATCTCGAGTCTTCCACATTTTCTATCTCTCTGCCAGCGAAAATCCTATTTTTCAATGTTCCCCATAGAAAATAGTCCAAAATAGTAAGATCTGGTGATCTTGCAGTCCATATTATTGGCCCATTATTTGTCTCGAAATGGAAGGACATTACGAAACAAATAATTCGAACATTTATTGCGCTATTAATTTTTTTGTGTATATAAACTACTTCATTTCCATTTTCATTACAATTATAGTGTTCGTTTGAGATGTCACACCTGTTTCTGCTCATCATACAATATATTTTTGTAGTAGATATGTTTCAGATAATCATAAAAGGTTTCGGAACGTCGTGAAAGAACTTGGCTTGGAATCTTTCAATTTTCATTTCTTGTAATATTTCAATTTTTGATTGTTGCTCGTATTTTATTTCATTGTAATTTCAGTTTTTTTTTCTTAATATAACTGTTATTTTTTAGCTAATCTTTTAAATATTATTAGATTCTTTCTGGGATTTCAAATCAATTCATATCATATTAGACAATGGAAGTCTGAACTAATGAAATGCATGCTTTATCACAATACAGATCTTGTACAGGAATCAAATAGACTGAAGAGAACTGAAAATTCAGGTATTATATTAGGTTATATAATTTACTGTCACTTCATTTTCGAGAGGTACCATGCGGTGAATTCGAAAGCAGTCTAAAACACATTTCATCTATAAAGCTTATCTACGTTATTGAATTTCTCGAAATAATTAAATGGGATGAAGATTCACTACAATTAAATGCTTGAAGTAAAAATCTTAAACCATCATGTGCTCTTTAATAGCTTATCGAGTCGTATTTTATTGTGCACTAGCAACCCGCCCTGGCGCACGAGTGCAATGTTGATACTAAATATACATATAAACGAGTGAGATCTTTGCTAATCATAAAATGCTATAGGGCAAAGGGCGGCCTTCGACGCGCTATTTATAGGCACGCGCCACCGGCCGGTACCGCCGCAACCACTATGTCTCCATTTTTAATAGGTAACATCTTCGAAAATATTCATTTAAATTACATGCTGTAAAGGGCCATATTGATCTATATTAAACGCACAATGTATTTAAGGTACTTAATTGGAAAAGGATTAATGCTGTATTGCTTAAAATCGCTTCGTAAATAAGCCATTATTTCTCGAGAATATTGAAGAGATGTAGACTTTTTAGGGTGTATAATACTGTAGTACATTTCTTGAGCTATCTCGTAGGGTTCAGCCAGCGTTTGCAATGTAAGATTACGACATCACATTAGAAACCTTTAAAATTATCAATGTTGGTTGCCTCAAGTAGTTTAATTGAAACCAGTCATTACCACGAGTTCCACTTAATTTTTGACAAAGTTGACATCTTACATCGAAAAGTACATGCACACTAATCATGTCGCCAGACGAAATTGACACAAATTGATTGATCATCACTTAGTATCTTATTGTTTATATATTTGAAGTGCAAAGTGCAAACAGTTTAACGTACTAAAAATATTGCAGTTTACATAATTAGGTCAAGGTATAGCTATGATGAGTCAAATGAACCTGCAATGTTTCTGTATGTAGAATTGCTAAGACCCTTGAAAATATCACAAATTTGGTAAACCAGTTGAAATGTAAAATATTTGTTTTAAAACTTTATCACACTGTCTACTATCTAATGCATGTAATATACATATAACGCTTCCTCTTGAATCAGTCTATCTATTTAAAAAACCCGTATAAAAATCTGTTGCATGGTTTAAAAGATATAAGCATACTTAGGGGCAAACAGCGGAAAGCAACTTTGTTTTATACTATGTAGTGATGTTATTGTGTTATTGTTATTGATATATGGGTTTCTGAAGATGAATAAATATTATTATTATCATTATTATTGTTACATTATAGCCACTATAAACATTTAATGTTTCTTGGGATCAAAAAACTTACTATTATGATAAATTATTTTTAATTTTTCAAATTGTGCTTTATATATACAGATTAATGTTTTTCATTAACAAATATTTAAAAGTAAGTTCTTTTTACTAAAACTAAGAAATGTCTTTATCACAGATTCATCACTGTCAGGCCTTAAAAGGCTCTTTTATCTTCTTCCTTCAGGCGCATCTTTGAAGCGCTTTGTGTACTATCAATAACAGGTAAAAGCGTAGATGACCTAGTCGTAGTGTTCTCCTCATCAGAGTCGTGCGAGTCACAGTGTAAACAAATATTCTGAGTAGAGAGTGTCATCTCGTACTTCTCTTCGAGCAGGAAATTCTCCGCTAACAACTTTTTCCTTTGTTCTTTCAAATAATCATTTTCATCCAACAAACTCATGTAGGACTCCTTTGCTTGTCTAAGGAGAACCTGAGAATCAGTTAATTCTATTTTCAACTTGTCTAATTCTTGTTGGAGTTCTCCGATTTGGCGATCATATTGTTTCTGATTTTGTTGATACTTTTTCAAAATTTTTGTTTGTTCGCTCAGTTCTACTTCCATCAAGGCTATGTGATGTTTCAGTTCTTGAATCTTCTCTGTCTGATCAGAGATATCACGCGACTTCTTTTGAGGGGAAGCTTCTTCTGTACTGGAATCATCAATGCTTATAACACTATCATTTCCATTTGACGATTTATTCAGAAACTCGAATTTCAATTGTTCAATTTTTCTACGATGTTGTTCCTCTAACCTTTCCACAGTCCTTTCGACGGCCTCCTCAATTTCTTCTTTATGTTGTATCTCTTTCTTTTTAATAAAGTCCTTGTATAAATTAATAGTATACTCCCTTTCCTCTTCGACTTCTTTATAATGCTCCTCCTTATTATGTTCAATTTCATTATATAAATCCACGACCATTTTCCTCAGCTGCTCCAATTCTTGGTCACGGGCATCGTTCACTTCCTCTACAGGCTCTAAATTTGGCTTCGCATGTTCGGCCATGTCTGAAAATCTATTTTTTCTCCTGATCGGCTTTGTCGGTTGCTCTTCTATAACTATTTCCTTCGCGATGGCAGCAAAATTCAGAGCTTGATAAGTTTCATCAAACATATCTCTACAGGGATTGATGTTAACAATCATTTCTATGTTCTCAAAACCCATTAGGGCTCTTTGAAACAGCTGTGTTAATTTCGATTCCCTGAATGGGACTAGACGTTTGTCTTTTATTTGTTGAAGACTTCTCACATTCTCAATGCACCTGCCTGCAACAAAAATTGAAGTGAACATTCTTGTTACTTCCTCTAAAACCATCTCATGAAAAATTAAATATTATTTTTCAAAAGCATTACGTGTACAATCAAATAATAACTGTTTATTGATATACTAAGAGTAATCAAAGTGGTCAATGGTAAGATGAATAGATAATATGGTAGTGTAGCTCCCGAGATGGCCCAAGTAGATATTTTTCTTACAAAAATGTATCTAGCACAATGTGGATTAACTCTCCTAGTTTAGATAGCTGATAGAGCACAGAAAATAGTCATAATAGCCAAAGGTTACAAAGAGCACTGTCGTCCTTTTTTTATTCAATTTGGCATTATGCCACTTCCCAACATTATATATCTATAAAGTTTCACTAGAGATTTATGAAAATGTTAATAAATTTGACATGCATTGAGATATTTATACAAGTTTATCTAACCTGCCTGAACATAAATCAACATCTTCACTCGTCTCTGAAGACAGTAAGCCTTGCAAAAGATATATCTACTATTAAAAAGTTTATTCTCCAACAGTGCTTTTATAACAATGAAGAATATATTAACTTGGCAGGATCTTTAACTTGTGAAAGACCTCATTAAATCCTCAATTTATTGATTTCATAATTATACTTTCAATTGACAAGAATTTCTGTATTCCTGACTATGCCATAAATATACTATGTATGTGAAATGGTCAAATAAAGTACCTTACTCTACTCATGGTACTTCCCAGAAGCTACTGACATATGCTACACTGGAAAACACAGTATATAGTGCAACAGACTCATGAGGCTGCAAAATTTAATTTGCAAAAATGCCAAAATTTGTTCAACAAATCACATGTATAAAAAACAGTATCTATTATAGTGCTAATAGTGGTTCAGTGTCAACTTCTTACAGATCATTCAACTTCAAACAATCATCTGTTATTTGTTGAAGATTATCTTTTAGGGTTCTAAGAGTTTGTATGTTGCTTAGGTAGACCACAGATTTCTGAAAAAAAATCTGGGAAACGTAGATACATGCCTGAAGAAAATATTATGAAGTGAAATACTTATTGGGGTTTTGTAGTTACATATAAAAGTTATGTATTTTTGGTAACCAACCGGCATCAGTAGAGTAGCCAAAAGTATATCAAAGAAACGCCAATAATAATGACAGTAGTAACAATTTTGAAAACATTTCAACAAAAGGTCTGTTTATTTTATAGATATCTGAGCGCTCATTTAGCTCGATTCACTTGACAAGCGTTCGATAAATCAGATCTATTGTCAAAGTTACATCTGTTCTGTATTTGGTACATGCGAGAGCATAGAAATGAATGTAATTGTTTAGCTCTGACATCAACATTAGGATCAGATAGAGTTTTTAGTTGTCTTTCATTATATTTAAAAAATTAGTAATGTAATGTAATGTACTTTATTTGTCAATATTAAACGACATAGAGTTTCGACAAATCATTGTCTACAACTAATCCTAAATCTAAATAAATATTGTTCCATAATTCCTGCACTGACGCCTATCGGGAGTAGTTGTTTTCTAATAGGCGTTAGTCCATTCAACCTACTGTGTAGGTATATCCGAGACTGGCTTGAACATTTAAAGTTCATTTCTTTAGATTTGTTAACTGCCAGTCTCCAAGCATAGCCCACCGACTAATAAGAATATTGCTTTTGATAACTTGCTAGTTAATTGTTACTCTGAGTGGCAGTATGCTTGGTATTGAAGACAAGTGTCTGAGTTTTGTGTGTGTTTAAACTTAGTTCGTTTGCCGTGAACCACTCAATAGCTTGATTAATGATCGATCCTATCATATCATCGATTCTGGTAGAATTATTTTCGATTCTGATTGCTAAGGTAGTATCATCAGCAAACAAGGTTGTTAATGCGTTTATGTTTTTGTGTAGGTCATTGATATAAATCAAGATAATCAGTTATTCTAAGGTAAATCAGCTAATTTTGCTAAAATAGGTAGGAAAGCTATTCCACGGTAATTATTCAGATCCTCCCTATCCCTTGATTTAAAGATTGGAATTATTTTCGCCATTTTTAGGTTTTCTGTAAAAACATTATCACACACAATGGTGTTCGTGATATGAGTAATTGAACTAACAAGAGATATTGTGGCAATATCTTTCCATATATTCACATAGACATATGCAGAATTTATATATTTGAATTCTTTATCTATACATAATAGACCTACTTCAGATGATAAGGGACGTTTTACCGATTTATTTGAAATAAACGGTAAAGTTATTTTTTCCATCATTGTATTAGTCATTATTGTAACATTTTTAAAATCTTCTAAACATCCATCACAAAACACTTCGACAAAATACTATTTTTATTTAACTTACCTAATACCAATAAAGATGTGTTGATATTGTTAGATTCTTTCAACCTATCACCTATATTCATTGTCTTCTTTGATCTCTCTGACCCAGCCAGATCACAGAAATTGAAGCTGCTGATGCATACTTCATTACACATTTTTGACATCTGAACTAAGGTAATTGTAAATATACAATGTGACCTACTGGAATGTGAATTAATGGCAGTGGCCGCATATTTCAAATTATGTAAACCGAACTGTAACACTTGGTAGGCTTCCATTCCATTACAAACATTAATTGATGACAAATTTTTGATGTATGTGCGGCTTTTAGATTGACCCAAAGCTAACCTAGGTCGCTGCTTTCCTTTGGGGACGCTTATTAGCAAATCGTAGATACTCTCATTATAAATTTCTGCAAAGCTGACCCATATATTGATAACCACATTTGATAGATCATCTATTTTTGCAGCAGGTTCTGTACTCAGTCTTTCTTGCATTTGCCTAAAAATATAAGTATGGAATAAATTTGTTTAGAACAAGTCATGTTCTTATGCATCAATATAGTAATCACAAATGAGTGGGCATACTTGGAGACTGGCTGTAAATCCAATTTAAGACTGGCCTGAACAATTTGTTCAGGCCACTCTTAAATTACCTACACGTTAGGTTAATGGACTGACACCTATTGAAGACAACAAAAAGCCTTAAACCAGTCTGCAAGTGTGTTCTAATAATTGAAAATCAATTTAAGCAGTTGCATCGCCAACAGCATATGCAGGAATAACTTCAGTGAAGAATCCTGCACTGACACCTGTCTGATATAATCCAACGCCATTCGTGGTATTACCCAGGGGAGTAGTTGTTTTCTGATAGGTGTTAGTCCATTAACCCACAGTGGACGAATTGTTCTTTTAAATAATTTAATATAGTAATCACCTAGTATGTATGTAATTTCAAATCATGTAATATTTTATATAACAAGGTTTTCTCATTCAAAAGGAGATATTTCAATATCTTAAAAAAGTAAATTGACCTGACAAAGTAACATATTTTAATAAATCCAGTTTTAATGTCCTTCATCTGAATATGATATTAAAGTTTTGAATTGGTTTTTTAGTGCATTCTGTGTTCATTAAATACATGTTAGGAGTATCTTACTTGTAAGTTTTTATATGAGCTGTTTTGTCTGATATTGAAGCATTCAGCACAGCAAACTTATTCATATTCTCCAAGTGTACCATCGACTTGTCAAGCTTTGAAGTTGTGCCATTGGGCATTGGTTTTAAGGTTGGTTTATCTTCAATTTTTGAAAGAGTTCTGAATATATACTCCAAAGCCCTAGGGATCAACCCAGGCTCATTAGGAGTACCGACAATGGTAAAAGTTTTGCCTGCAAAGAGTTACAATCATTATTTGTATCAGTTGTAGTTACACTGTTTTATCTTAGTATCATTTATTAACAATTTTAAATGGTAACTAATGTTTTCTAATGTTTCAGTTTCTACTTACCAGATCCGGAAGCTCCATAAGTGAATAATGTTGAATTCCTACCATTTATAAAACCCAAAATCCTTGGTTTAACGATGCTGTTGAATATTTCAATTTGCATAACATCTGGCCCAAATATTTTTGAAAAAGTGTATGTTCTTGTCATAGAATTACCATACTTTAGATTTCTCATACTGTAGGATCCTTCAGGAACTTTGCAAATCAAGTTGTCATTGTCTATTTGATAGAGATTTTCATATGGGACACCTCCCTTCATTCTTAAAAATACTTGGATGCATTTGGACTCCTGAAACAACGCAACAAACATTTTCACTGAAATCTCCCTATAGAGTAAGACCAATAGAAAGCATTTTGAAATTTCAACCAAGATATCTTGTTTGATACAAAACATTCAGATATTTATATATTGATAAGTCTAATTGAATGAATAAACTTTATCGAGGAACAAAAATAAAATAGTATACAAATTAAGAGGATATCTACTGCCTGAAACTGCGCAACAAAAATGATTAGTACAGTGAAAGTGGAACCTACTCAAAAAAAAAAGATATTTCGGAATTCCTGTGAATCACTTGATTACCAAAAAAATAAATAATCTCGTGAAATATTTGTTGTTCTTGTGTAAAACGATGCCCATGATTTAAAAATCTGGTCCAGGTACAACTTTCATGTCTTAGACTTGGCAAAGTTGATGATTGAAATATTTCAAACTTGCAATTAGTATCCACAACCGAAGTGTCGCTGTTTTTGTCTTCATTGTAGTGTGTGTGTGAGACACATTTAATTTTTTTTTCATGTCGAACAATTTATTGAAAAAAACTTCCTTTAATCTCCCTCTTGAAGATGGATCACTTAGTAATCCAAACACGTGTCGAGGTGTTGAAATAATGGTTTGATGTTGGGATAAAACTCCAGTTATATTCAGAGAGTTTGGATAAATCCAACCTCACTCACAAGTCAATAAAAATATTCTGACAGTCAAGCGGCATTGGAAGCTCTTGGCTCCCACCAAGCAACATCTAAATTGGTAGCAAACTGCCAAAAAAGACTCTCCTTGATAGGAAGACTAAACAGATTGTCTCTGGTCTGGATTCCTGGCCATACTGACCTGGAAGGCAATGAGGCTCCTGACTCCCTTGCAAAGGAAGGTGCTGCATACAGCTTCATCGGACCAGAACCTGTCATTGGCATCGTATTAAGCTTTGCCAAATAAAGATTAAACACCTGGATGGCAAGAAAATGTATGGACTTCTGGCAGAATCTTCCAGGATTGGCTCACTACAAGGCGTTTATATTCACCCTTCGAAGCTTGATTCCAAACAGTTGTTGGACTACAGTAGGGATGAACTACGATGTCTAACAGATCTTCTTACAGGTCACTGTCATTTGAACCATCACATGCAGAGACTTGGACTTTCGGAAGACAGTGTGTCGCCTCTGTCTAGAAAATGATGAAACTGCAGAGCATATACTTTGTGCCTGCCCCACTGGGGACCGAATCAGGTTCTTTGAGTTCAGCAGATCTGTACTCTCATCATCTGACCTGAAAGACCACTCACCATACAAACCAATCGGCTTCGTTAAGAAGCTGGGTTTATTTGGCCGAGTGTGAATAGGTGTGAGCCACAATAAACCCTTGTGGGTTGCGGTGGAGGGTCGAATAGATCCACTCACTTCAGACCTACCTACATACCTATATTCAGAAAAATAAATAGTAAAATTGTTCTCTTACATTCTCTTCTTCACTGGCAGTAGTTTGATCACCGGAATCCACAATAACATCTTCCAGATTAACTTTAACCTTTTCTAAGGTTGTCTTGCTCCACGCCAAAATACTTGGATCTCTTGCATATATAAAACTTGATACTGTTGTTGTGAGATCGCCAGAATTACCCTCCATAACAAGAGAATTTCATGTGATTCCCAATCAAATGCTTTGCTAAAATCAATTTTCAATATCCCTCTTCATTTTCATAAATTTCTATAAGATTTTTCATTATGTGAATCATTGGAGACGGAGACTGATAATTTATTCTGTGTTATAAATTCATTAGCTATCCATTTCATAGTGTATACATTCACGACTTGCTTGCAAATGATCATCCAATGCTTAACGAAAATCTTGATTAGTATGTAAACATTTCTGAACAAATTTCAGTTATTATACTGTAAGATTTTCTATGCGACATTGCTCTCATTTGGTTGATAGTTATATGGTTATTATCTACCTGTTCATGATCATTAGTCAAAATTGGAAAATCTTTGGGTCCTATTGAAACCTCTTGATTTTTCTTAGGGAAAAATCTTGATGCATCGAAAAACGAACCAAATGCAATTTTTTGTGTATTTCGTACACTGGGCGATTATTTGAGTAATGATTTTCACTCTTACAATGTAAACTTTGGGTGAACTGCATTCATAATATTTTTCAACTGTTTTGTGATATTCTGTACAATTAAATCATTTTCGTTTTCCTCTGCATTTTTTTTGTATATCCAAAAATAAGGCAATTATAAGACTATGTTACATGTGGTACATATGGGTCACCTCGTATGTCATGTAGCACAGATCTACTTTTCAGGGTAGAATAACTTCTTTGAAGGTAATTGAAATGGTAGTTGTTTGAATATATTGAGTTTCACTATTTTCATTTGTCTGTTCAATCATTCAACAGATAATATTCTGTACCTTATGTTTTAAGTTTGCCTCCCTGAAAAAGGTATACATTTTTTTAATCATTCCCTTACAAGTTATTTGATTATAAGGCATTCAGTTCTTCTGTTTGATTATACAAAAAATTATTAGCTGAGTGTATGTTCGCAAAATCTATTCCTATTTTATCAATTCCTTTTCCTTTATTATATTTCTGTATTCAATTACAAGATAATATACATTTTTTACAAGTTTAAAATGATTAAACCCACCTATATTATCTCCTGATTCCATAATTATCTTATATCAGTCTACATATCTTTTTTGCAGATTAGTTGTTTATGGTATAAGTGGCGTCGTTTTTGAAGAGGGGTTTTTTCTTTTATAAATAAACTTTTCTTGCTATGAAGGTTAAATATATGTTTCACTATGGTTTCATATATTTGAATGAAAAATATTCTTCCCTATATTCGTTATCTATATCATATTCCATACTTATATACATGTTATGTTTGTTTTTTTCTGGCGCCTCCCAAATCACTAATCATAATGAGTGGTGAAGTAAATTGGTTTAGAATGTTTTAATTTTCATTTCTTGTTAATACTTTTTCAATTTTCATCTGTTAAAATAGTTAAAAAAAATTTATTGTTTCTTATATATTCATTGTAATTTCAGTTTTTTTGCTTAATATAATTGTTATTTTTCAGCTAATCCTTTTTCATTTTTTTTACAGATTCTTTCAGGTGCTTCAAATCAATTTATATAAATTAGACAATGGAAGTCCGAACCAATGAAATATAATCATAATGAGGTTATGATTGATTTAGTCCCTTTTATATTTCCTTTATGAAAAAGGATATACTCAACAAAGAAAATTATTAGTAATGAACTCACCTGGATCAAATCTTTTCCTTCGCTTCGCTTCGAACTCTTAAAGGATNGTGGTTATATCTTATAGACCTTTGAAATAACTCGATTATCAATACCGATGAAAAAATCAATTTCGATAATGAAAAAACAAGCTTTAGAAAGCATAAGATACTTAAATTTTGACAATTGAACCGCCCCCTCTATGAAAAATTGGAACTGATGGTAGTGCCATTTGTCTACCTATAACCGTCAGATGGGTATGTTTTTGGCAGATTTAAAAATTCTGCATTTTCAATTTTGTATCATGAAGAAATTAGACTTTCATTTGTAATTACAAGCAGACAAACATTATGACCTTCCCATGAACAATATGGAACATCCAACTGGATTAAACAGTAGAAAACATAGTCTGTCTGTATTGAGTTTTTTTGATAGACATTAAAATTTGATAATCAAATCACATATCAAGGCTGCCAAAAAAATTGAATTCTGAATATATTGACCACATCAGCATACTTTGCCCTTACGTTGAGTAACTTTTGAAATATGGGATTGCATTTTGGGGAGCCTGTGGAGTCACATAATTTCAAACAAGATTCCTGTAAGACTCTGTTTCTTCAACATGAAATGTCTTATATTAATACATGATACAAACTAACGACTCCTCTTTCTTACTATACCATGCGCCATACTACTATATATATATATGGGCGTTCCAGCGGGGTAATAGCTTATATTTCCCCCCTTATTTTTTACGCCACTGACTTTATATCCACAACTGCCGTGTTGGTCGGTGGTTACTGACATCAAATACAGGGTGTTGCATTTAAAAAAATACCGATGACGTCATCACATTAATATGGATCACCCTGTATAATGAAATTTTGTTGTTAAATGTAGAATATTAAAATTAAAAATAGACGTGTTTCAGGTTTTTGTAAAACGACCTTTGGTTTTGGAAATATTGAATTTATTCCATACTTTGCGGCCACACTGTATAACTGATTTACAGATGTATTATGGAAAACTGGAAATTATAATTTATTTCAGAAAAGATGTTAGGTGAACATATACTTTCAAAAAAATCCTATCTCACTTCTCATGGAAACACCCCCGTATCTTCCATAATTATTGCAGTAGAACCTCTGAATCATGATTTCAGGATCTAGGGTTGATCTGAGTGGCATACACGATGGAATCGCCCAGTTTTGCGAAAAATTGTATTAGGGGACAATATATAGGCTCAACATTCCAACGGATTCGGAATCCGGACATCAATTTTACTACCGATATAGTTATTATTTTTATTCTGAAAAAACCGATTTGTCTCACTTCTCCTAGAAACGCCCCCGTAACTCCCGTAATTATTGAAGTTGATTTTTTTTTGACATCATCAAAACATAAACCCGACCAAAATATTATAAGGGGACAATATAGGCTCGAAATTCCAACGGATATATTTGACCAACTTTGACTCAATTCTCATGGATACAATCCCGTATCTTCCATAATTATTGGAGTTCTTGTCTAAGGTTGTTCTGAGTGTCATACACTGCTCGCCAAAGGCGATGGAATCACCCAGTTTTGCAAAAAATAGTATTAGGGGACAATATATATGCTCAAAATTTTAACGAATTCGAAATTAGGACATCAATTTTAGAACCGATACCGATTTTCGATGAAGAAAATTTATTCAGATAAAACCAATTAGTCTCACTTCTCATGAATAAATATTTCCGTAACTTCCGTAATTATTGAAGTAGATTTCTTTTCGTTTCTGACACCATCAAAACTTGAACCCGACCAATTAAATCAGGTATTCCTTCCCTCAAAGTTGATAAGAGAGGAAATGTTTATTGAGTGGAATGGAAACATATCAGTGAGCTTTTAGAATGGTTTATGCCAATTCAGATTATCATCTCACCATCAAAACTTGAAACCGACCAATTAAATCAGAATATTGCTCAAAGGGTATTCCTTTCCTCAAAGTTGATAAGAGAGGAAATGTTTATTATGTGGAATGGAAACATATCAGTGAGCTTTTAGAATGGTTTATGCCAATTCAGATTATCATCTTCCCATCGTTTTAAAAAAAGCCAAGTGTTTTTGTGGCAAAAAATCTAGAAGTTCAAAACTATTTCCAAGCAGTACTTTCAAAATCACGTTTTCAAAATGAAAAACAAACAAATTTCAATTGATTCAGGTGCAAACGATTTTAAATTAGTGTGCCTTATATCAAATTCCCCTAAAATGAACACATTATATGCGCCTTCTATTATTTCCTTCAACCCTTTTCAGTTCTCTAGGTGCACGATTGTATAGGTAACTCTTGCACATAGATTTTCTCTACTAGTGGGCCTATCCTTATAAACCTTTTCAATGTTCCCCATACATAAAAATCTGGTGGAGTTAGATCTGAGGATCGTGGTGTGGTCGTACTACGAGAAAGCTATTGGGTCTTACCCATTTCCTAGGAAGGTTCCTATCTAACTAAACCCTTCATATGCAACTATTATGAAATGGTGAACCATCTATATGAAAAATCAGGTTATTTCTAACATATAGAGGTAGTTCTTTTAACACATCGGAAAATGCATTTTTTTGAGGTAATGTGGTCCGTTTAGATTCTGATGGAAAAAAGGCCCGTTCAAAATACCACACCACGATTTAACTTTCTGAGATATTTGGTACCCACAATTCACTTTGGTACCCACAATTCACTTTGGTACCCACAATTCACTACCCAATTTGAATTTTGTTCAGCCCGAAATCTCATGTTCTGGAAAGATACATACTATTCGTGGTAAAGGTAGCCTCCTCACTTTATAAGATACGTTTTAAAAACTTCCTGTCACTGAGATGATTTCCTGCATACATAAACAATACTCTATACGACGGATTTCATCTCCATCGTCAAAGTATGTAGAAATTTTGGTTTGGAAGCATGCATTTTATGCCTTTTCAAACACCTCCGTATTTTATTGCGGCTCATATTGTGTTGAAGCGATAAGTTTGTGAAACTAATTTTTGGATCAGGTTGATAAGCCGCCATATCATCTACAATACGTTCTATTACATTTTTTCTGTCTTTTTTGGACTGCTCTCCATGGTAATCTCAGGGCACCACTTGATTTTTATTCATTGGAACGGATTTAATTCAATCCCTTCAAATGACTTTCAGACATGAAATCAGCAAGTACGTACGGGCGTTTTCATGAGAAGTGAGACAAATTGTTTTTTCCAGAACTGAATTTTTTTGCGAAAATATGCGTTGATAGTAAACTTGATGTTCTGATTTCGAACCATTTGGAATTTTGAGCCTATATTGTCCCCCAATACTATTTTTTGCCAAACTGGATGATTACACACCGCCTTTGGCGAGCAGTATATGTCACTCATAATAATTCCAAACAATATTTCAAACCCCAATCTGTGGAAAAATCCCTAGTGAGCTGAATTTTTGTATACACATTTATCACGACATTGTAATGAAGATGTGAAAAAGCGACATTGATATCTTGCCGGCTAAAAGAGTTATAAAGGTCAAAATATCACGAAAATCAGTTTTTCACGAATATCTCGCGACCTATTACTCGGAGGTCGGGGCGTTTTTCTGGAATATCAAGTTTTCGGAGTAGAGCGCTGAGAAAGCGACTTAAATGCACTCACATTCGGTATTGTATACAGTACACCAAAGCGTAAACTCTATTGCCTTTTATTCGTATTTTTAAGTGTTGAAAACTTCTATCTGATACTTGGGCGATTTGTGAAAAATATACTTATATTATAGAGGTTTTGGAACATAGTAAAATCTACTAATTATAATTCATACAAACGACCTCCACTAGCAGATTTTCCGTATTTTATTGTTCGGAGACCCGTCCCTTTATACCTGCTCTTGCCTGTCGGACTGTGTTTGAAAAAATTCAGTTGAAAAATATTTCTTGAGTCAACAATGTTGAAACAAAAATATACTTGACTGATAGCCTCAACAAGTATCCGCATTGCAAGAAAAATATTCTGTTTCTACATGCCATGGCTGGATGTGATCCAGCTTCAGCACTTTTTGGGAAAGAAAAAATGAAATTCATGAAGATGCTGCAATTCTGCAGAAATTTTCCAACAACAAAATTGCTCTTGCATTTCATTTTCAATGCTGGAATACATTTTCTACTGAAATCAGAATATTCGATGGATAATTACATTACAGATGGTGTGGCTTTGCTAAATTACCAAGACAAAACACAGCTTTGAAATTTCCTTTAATGCCACTTACTTCTTCAGCAGTTCAACAAACCTGGCTACGAAGAGAAATTGATCCAGAAAGGTGGGGTTGGGAGTTGAAAAATAATATACTACGACAGAAAACAACTTTATTACCACCAGCACCCGATGATCTACTGAACACAATATTTTGTAATTGTACAAAAGGTTATGGAGCCAAATCTGGATGCAAAAAAATTGGAATGAGATGTTCAAAGTTTGTGGACATTTCGTGGCCAGTCATGCTTAAACGCAGAGTCAACCAATGATGAAAATGATGAAGATGTCGATTTTAATACAGGAATAAGTCCAATCGACGTTTCGTCAGTAACTGTTAATGATATAGAAACTGAAACATGTAAAAAAACGCGTCTTGCTTTCTGTCTCGAAGATGGTGAGGAAACGAGTGCATCGTCATAACGTAGTTGCGTTCTCAGCGCTCCACTCCAAAAACGGTTGATTTTACAGAAAAATGCAGAAGACATTTTTTGTAGATGATTCCACGACAAAAAAAATTTGTATTGACCTCTATTGACCTGCAAATAATAGTTCACAAGATATTTGCAAAAAACTGATTTTTAGCCGGCACGATATCAATGTCAATTTTTCCCATCTTTATTAAAACGCCGTGATAAAAGTGTATACGAAAATTAGGCTCATTAGCCTAATTTAGCATAGATTTAGACAATGACAAAACCTTCCAAAAATCAACACAAACATGCACAAAACTTAAAATATTAATTTTCTAAGTTTGTTGTTAGCCTCACCACTTTTCAAAAAACTAAGATTATTTGCTTTTAATACAAAATAATTTCAATG